ACAATATCATACAACGTATATAAAAATAAAAAAAAAAGCAGAAGGCTCAAAATGCTCTACAGGAAGAACTGGGGAAAGTGGAAAAGAAGCTGCAGCAAAACCCAGGAGACAAGGTGACAAAAGAGAATTGGACAATGTTAAGACATAAATTGAATTTACTAGACCAGGATTTGGCTTATAAAATAAAACAATTGATACAATATTATTTTGAAAATGCCAACAAACCCGGCAGATAGTTGTCCTACAAATTAAAGAAAGAAAATGAAAAACGGAGTTTTCATCAATTGGAAAACAAGAAGGGAAACCTACAAAATAAAGAAGAGGATAAGCTTGAAATTGCTCGTGAATCTATACAGAACTCTATAAAGAGGATGAAGTTCCTAGAGAAAGGATTATGCAGAATCTTTCAGAAAATGAACCAGTATTGATAGGAGAAGAGGAGAGGGAGGAGTTGAATAGAGAGGTCATGATAGAGGAATTGAAGATGGCAATTTCCAGATTGAAGAATAATAAATCACCAGGTCCGGACTATACAAAAAACTGGAGGATATATTATTATCAAAAGTATTGGAGATTTACAACAAGGCGCTATTGGATGCCAAAACACCTGATTCGTGTAGGGAAGCGTATATCACATTGCTACCAAAAGAAGGTACCGATTCAAAACAAATAAAAAATTATAGACCAATTTCCCTTTTAAATTCGGATTACAAAATTTTCATGAGCATAATGGCTGAAAGAATGAAAAGAATATTAAATGTTATGATACATACAGATCGGAACGGCTTCCTCCTAGCAGACAAATAAGGAATAATATAAGAATAGTCATTGATACTCTAGAATATTACGAGGCCCACCCTGAAAAGAAAATGGCATTAGTTTTTCTAGATGCCCAAAAAGTGTTTGACAACTTAAATTGGGAGTTTATAATTGAACAAATTAAAATGATGAAACTTGGAATGAACTTTGAGAGAATGATAAAGACAATGTACAATAAAGAAAGGGCGAACATAATATTAAATGGAGATATGACTAAATCATTCCAGATAAAGAAGGGGGTAAGACAAGGATGTCCACTATCACCATTATTATTCATTATGGCCCTGGAAGTATTGTTAAACAGGATTAGAAACAATAATGAAATAAAAGGTTTGAAGATTAGGAATGAGGAATATAAAATGCAGGCCTTTGCTGATGATGTAGTGTTGATTGTGGAGGAACCATTGGAATTGGGCAAAAAAATTTTGGAGGAATTAGGTAGATATGGAAAGGCGTCCGGATTTAAATTAAACAAAGCCAAAACTAAAATGTTGGTTAAGAATTTGACAGAAAGGCAAAAGGAAGAAGTAGAAAAGATAATGGACCTACAAATTGTTAAAAAAATTAAATATCTAGGAATTTGGATAACATCAAGATGTTCAGCCCTGAAAGAGGATAATTACATACCCCTGATTAAAAAAAATTAAACAAGATTTGGAAAGATGGGGAAACTTGCAACTATCTCTTTTAGGTCGGATAGCCGCAATAAAAATGAATACCCTGCCCAAGTTATTAGACCTATTGCAAACTACACCGGTTAACCTTGATAAGTTGCGGGCCTCAAAATAAATAAGCAGAAGACGAAAGTATTGACGAAGAATATGACCCAAACACAACAGTTGAAATTAGAACAAGAATTAGGACTTCAAATAGTAAAGAAAATAAAATACCTAGGTATTTGGCTGACAGCAAAAGCAACTACAATTAAAGAAGATAATTATACCAAATTGTTAAAACAAATCAAAAAAGACTTAGAAATTTGGAGTAGATTACAACTCTCATTGATGGGCAGAATTGCCTCAATAAAAATGAATATATTACCAAGAGTACTATATTTATATCAAGTGATACCAATACACCCCGGAAGAGATTTCTTTAAGAACCTCAACAAAACAACAATGAACTACATATGGCAGGGAAAGAAGGCCAGAATTAAAATCAAAGCCCTACAGGATTCACGGGACAAAGGAGGTCTAGCAACACCAGATTGGGAACTCTACTATAAGGCATCAGGATTGACCTGGATTAAAGAATGGATGGAACTCGACAACAAAAGAACTTTATATTTAGAAGGCTTTGACTTAATAAGAGGATGGCACGCTTTCTTATGGGACGGATCGGATAAAAGACACATGTACTTCCAATGTCATATAATTCTAGCTTCATTATTCAAGATCTGGCAGGATATTAAGAGAACTCACTATACTAAAATACCAAAATGGTGGTCCCCGATGGAAGCATTGATATACCCGAACACTCTCGAAATAGGAAAAATGATGAGGTACCAAGACTTACTGAATCATGAAGGCGAACTCATTTCAAGACAGCAACTCCAAAACTCCGGCATAAATATCGATTGGTGGCCCTATACTCAAATACACTCAAGACACATAGCAGACAAAAAGCAATATGGAATCTCGAATAATTTGAATGAATTGGATAAGATTTTACAAGGCCCAGAACAAAAAATGATAACCAAATTATATAACTACTTACTTAGATATAAATTACTGGAAGAAACAGTAAAAGAAAGTATGATAAGATGGGCCAGGGACATAGGGCACAACATTCAACTGGCAAACTGGGAGAAATTGTGGAAACAGAACATCAAAATGACAAGAGCCATACCCTACAAAGAAAACCTCATAAAAATGTTTTACAGATGGCACCTAACACCAGCCAGACTAGCCAAAATATATCCAAACACCTCCCCACGCTGTTGGAAGTGCAAAACAAAAAAGGGGACATACTACCATGCCTGGTGGAAATGTACAAAGGCCCAACAATACTGGAAGGACACAAAGGAAATTATTGAAGAAATAATAAACCAACAAGTAGAAAACACTCCAGAATTTTTTTTATTTGGAATGATAACAACACAACACAACAAAGAGACAAAATACCTCATCATACACATCTTGACAGCAGCACGGTTACTGTTTGCGCAAAATTGGAAATCAGATCAACTCCCAACCAAAGACAAACTAATCTCGAAGATAACAGAATGTGCCAAAATGGATAGACTGACACTAGAACTCCAAGATAAAGAAGAAAGTGAATTCTATCCTGTATGGCACCAGTGGTATCAATGGCTAGAAAAGAAAATCAGTACAAATATAGATGAAAGAAAATAGGGTAGAAAAAATAAAACCGGAAATAAATAAATTAAGAGGAGATGCAAGATTATTTCTAATCTAAAACATCCAAATTGACAATGTATTACTTATATATTAACTTATAAAGCAATATATATTCTGATGATGATCAAAACATATATGTAAAGTTTGGTGTGGGTAGGTTGGTGGTGGGAACTTGTTTGTCTTTGTAATGTCTTTGTATTTTTTGTATTGTCTTTATATCTCTGTTTAAAACTCAATAAAAAAAAATTTAAAAAAAAAGTTTTTTTCTAGAATTGAATAAAATCACAAGGAAATTTGTTTGGGGAGGGAAAAAACCTAGAATCTCATTTCGATCATTACAGGACAATAGAAGTAGGGGAGGATTTGGATTCCCAGCATGGGAAATTTATTATAAAGCAGCCAATTTAGTGTGGATAAGGGAATGGGTCACTTTAGAAAATAAAAGAATTTTAACCCTGGACGGGCACGATCTACAGAGAGGTTGGCATGCGTATTTATGGGATAAGGAAAAGAAGAAGAAAACATACTTTCACAGGCATAAAATACGGAACATTTTATTACAAACCTGGAAGAAAATTGGGCAAAAACAATATATGAAGGTCCCAAATTGGCTTTCAACAATGGAAGCTATGATATACCCCAATGTGCTAGGCGTTGATAAAATGTTTAGGTACAAGGATATTTTAGACAGTTGCGGGAATCTTACCACATTGACTGGTGGCCATATTTGCAGATTAGATCTAGGCACCAAAAAGACAAAGAGGAATTCGGAATAGAGACGGGTCCAAACAGATTTGATAAATTATTAATAGGCATGGAAAAAAAGTACTAGCTAAATTATATAACTACCTATTAGAATATGATAAAGCAGAAGAGGTGGTAAAAGAACAAACGATTGTGTGGGCAAAAAATATAGGACATAGTATAAATTTAGCTGATTGGGAAATAATTTGGAATAGAAATTACAAACTGACAAGAGTGGTAGCATTTAAAGAAAATCAATATAAAATGCTATATAGATGGCATTTAGCCCCCACAAGATTAGCCAAAATCTACCCTAACACAAGCCCGAACTGTTGGAAATGTGACTACCACCAGGGTACCTTCTTTCATATGTGGTGGATGTGCCCCAAAGTGATGAAGTATTGGAAAAAGATCCGAAATTGGATCCAAGAAATAATTGAGGAAAATATAGATTTGGCTCCTGAAACCTTTCTCCTGGGAGTACTAAAGAGGACGTACGAGAAAAAAAAGAGATGCTTAATTATACATATCATTACGGCAGCTAGATTAACATATGCACAGCATTGGAAAGAAAAGGGAACACCACTGGAAGAACATTTAATTCGGAAAATCCTAGAATGTGCCGAGATGAGCAAACTAACATATGAGATTAACGAGAAGGAGGAATCAGAATACTATATGGTGTGGGGACTCTGGTATAAATGGATAGAAGATCGAATAAAGAAGGGACAAGGGATAGTGTAAATAGTAAAATAAGTGGGTAAATCATAAGACACTATAACAAAAGGATGTATCCAATTTATATACATATTAGCACTGTTAAACCGATCTCTTGTGTATTGTATTACAATGTAATTTAATAAAAACTTTTTAAAAAAAGAAATTATAATGTAAAAACTAAAATTATATTAAATCTAAATTATATCTTAAAGTACAGCAGTAGAAATGTATCTAAAACTATTAATATCAGCAAAATGGTAAGCACTCCCTTTCTGCTCTTGAAAATCTTTCCTACCCTTAAATCCCTAGTGAAGACTTCCAAGGCTTTGCTGATAGGTTCAGCTTTAATGCACATACCTTGATTAATACTTCTGGCAAACGTAGTATTTGTAATATGGGACTTATGGCTTTCTGTAATGTGTATGAAGGACCCAAGGCAAAAAACAGTTTTATTTTCTCAGCCAGGTGTGGGCGGACAGAAAATGCAACGTAAGCTGTGAAAACAGAAAACATTTTAATTTAGCACCTTTTTAAATGCAGAGGAAAGTAATTCTGTATTTACAGGCAAAAATGGAATGTATGAAGACTTCATAGGACTACCTCATGTAATATGTAAAAGTCAACAATTTAGTTTTTTATAGAGTCATTTATGGTTGAAACCATCAGCTACCTAGGTTGATGTCAACAAAGTTTATAATCCCTTGATTTAGATTATCAACTGACCATTGCTTATATGTTTATTCCATATTTTTAATTGCTTTTACAGGGAGTGGGGAGTGATTTTAACTTCACAATGGCCAAGATTATTTGCTGAACTTTATATTTTCCTAAATGAAGGAGAAAATATGCCATTGGTTTTGGCAAGCAAAACATTTCCCTGCCTGGATTTCTTTCCTCGAATTGGGAAGCCATAAATTGTGCAGGCTCCCCCATGACTAGGACTCCCCCAGTCCCTCTTGAGACTGAAGGATGCCCATGCAAATACTTAGAAAGCCAAGGAATATTGATAAACCCAGGAAAAGATATTAGGAGATGAACAGACTCTGGAAAGCAAGGCCAATAAAATAAATCCATAAAATTAACTTTCTTGACCTCATATGTGCCAATAGAATATATGTTTAACTGATTCATATATAATTCCTTCTCATTCATATATTATTCCGTCTACCCTTAATTCAGGAATTCATCTCAGAAATCAACTTTTCATTCTGAGTTTGATGTCATCACAAGTGTGACATGATTTAAAAAGGGATTCCAGCTGGCTTTAATAATTTTCTAAATGGTGAGAGAGACTGTGGGATTAGCAACCTTGAATTAAAAATGGTACTGGCTGGGCAAAGATATATGCATCATGAGTTATCTGGAGAAAAAAAATCAGGAAAAAGGAAAGAACTAGGGATTGGCTCTTTTCTCAGAGGAAAAATTGACTTTTAGGTTCTAGGCTTTGGAGTGTAAAACTCTAGACAGCTCAAGATGGGGAAAATGCACATATGTGGTATTGACACTTAAACCATTTGGTCATTGCTAGGATGGCATCTCCATTCTTCAAGCAGCCAAAAGTAATTTCAGCACTGGATTAATATCTCTGACACCAATTTGGGGGATAGTATATATCTGGCAACAAGTTTTTCTCTGAAATTGATTAGTGATTTTACAGGTATCACCAAGATCAGGAAAACCTTCCCGTAAAAAGAATGGCAAATCATCAACTTACCTATTGCGGATCCCAAAGTATGACCAGCATAAAAAATCTTCTGCTGTCCAGTTTTATGTAGAATAAACTCTGTCATGGCAGTAAGATCATAGATGCCCATTTCATGCAAACTGCAAATGTAAAGATGCCATGTAAAATATGAATTGTGTTGTGTGCTAATCAACCCAAAGTTCTCTCCTGGGGTACAGACTCAAAGTATATTACTTTGGACACATTATGAAAAGAACTGGAAAAGTCTTTAATTCTGGGAAAGGTGGAGAGAAACAAAAGAAGAGCAATTACAGCATCAATTGGGGAGTATTGGGAGACTTGAATGACCAGCCTTGGAAAAAAACTATTTATCAATGCATCCCATCATGTGCTATGGCTTTCCCCTTTGCAAATCATTAACAAGTATATTTAACCAACAGAATATGCAAATAACAAATCGATCTGGATGAAGAGAAGATAGAAATGCTTTTTAGGTCAACTAATAGCTAACTGCAACCAAACAAGTTTGAATAAAATTGTAAGTTAGCAATCACTGTAGTATGTAATAGACTGCAAGAAAAGATACAGGCTTCCTTGACTCTTGTTCCTCCTGGCCAATTAAACCACAATTAACAATTGTTAAGGAAAAGGATGAAGAGCTTTTGGGCTGAATGGTCGTGATCTGGTTTTCTATACCACACTGTTCAGCCCAAAAGCTTGTCACTGCTTCATTGATGCCAGCCATGGAAACAAACAAGAGTATGTCGAAGATTACAAATATTTGTTTCTTGATGACTAAAGGAACAGTTAAGGTCTCTACATAAAATTTTATTTATTTTATTTACATCAATTCTTATCTACCACCTATTTGCTTTGACTGTCAGAGTAATTCAGATTCTCTTAGAGAGCTTTAGCATGCAATAAACCTATAATCACTTGAACTGCCTGAATTTCTGATTATTTGCACAGGGCATTCTTTAATTGACCTTTGAATTGATTAATTGGTTGAATAATCAATTGACCGAAAACCAACTTCAGTAAGAGCTACATTTTAAATACTAACCTGAAATTCCAAAATTCTGTTTCGTTAACTGAAAGGTGCTTGTGTCTTCTAGACCAGAAGTTTCCTCTGCTATTTCCAATCCATACATCATATCCAGCATCTGCTAGTATGAAGCCCAGGCTCTGGTGGGGTAAATTTGATATCCACACACTACCATCCATAGCTAGTGCATGCATTAATAATATAGCAGACTTATTGCCTGAAAAAAAAAGAATTTCTTATGTCAGATTCTTAATAATAAGGTTCATAGAATCAGAATAAGGACACAGTGGCTCAGTGGGTAAGACGCTGAGCTTGTCGATCGAAAGGTTGGCAGTTCAGTGGTTCAAATCCCTAGTGCCACGTAACGAGGTGAGCTCCCATTACTTGTCCCAGCTTCTGCCAGCCTAGCAGTTCGAAAGCATGTAAAAAATGCAAGTAGAAAAATAGGGACCTCCTTTGGTGGGAAGGTAACAGTGTTCCGTGGGCCTTTGGCGTTTAGTCATGCCAGCCACATGACCACAGACACATCTTCGGACAGTGCTGGCTCTTTGGCTTTGAAATGGAGATAAGCACCACCCCCTAGAGTTGAGAACGACTAGCACATATGTGCAAGGGGAACCTTTACCTTTATTTATTTATTTATATTTATATTTAAATTTATATACCGCCCTTCTCCCGAAGGACTCAGGGCTGTGAATAGCCAAAGGTAAAAAACATAGAATACAGAAATTTAAAAGCAGTTTAAAATATATTAAACAATTTGGCCCAACAATTAAAAAACTTTAGAATCAGAATTGCATAAAACTGTGTTGGATGGGATTGGCATTTCGATACTGTTTTTCTTCAAGGAATACATGAAGAGGGGTGGATGTGAATAAACACCCTTGCTCTGTTTCCCAAGAAGTACCCAGACCCTAAATTTTTGTTTCTGCTTTTTTTTTTTTACCTCCCGGAATTCTGTTCACATTTAGGTAATAGCCATCTTCTGTAAGGATCTCGTATTCTTCACAACAATATCCCCAATATCGGATTCTTTCACTCTGTAAAGATTGAAAGACAAATCTATAATGTAGAATGGATTGTGGTACAATGAACATACAGTACATGGGACAAGCCAGAAATTATCTAGGAAATGATTACATCAGAAAAATACTTAAATCATGGCTGAATTGATGAGGAAAATAATTTTTTTTAAAAAAAAATCAGATATTATTGAGTCAAGATCAACGTCTGGTGATTATATGGATATATTGAATTTCTTGTCAACACTTGGGGCCACAACTGTGATCAAACTATTTTTTCATGTATCTTGCATAGCAGAGCTTTGAACCACTGTTGTGACTGCCATCTTGACTTTTTTTGACCATATCCTACATATAATCCTGGCAGCAATTAAGAAGAAATTTGGCATTGCCTCCTTCTGAGACGCTTTATGATTTCTTAGTCTGCCTAGTAATCTGCCCTCCAAACCTGAATTAACTTCAAGGCCCAGAAGCACTCAAGTGTTGCTAACTCCTCAGACAACAAGACTGCTTAACCAAGTATATTTAACACGAGGCAGAATATTTAAGATGGTCTGGAATGCAAGCTTCATGTCATCTTACTTATGGGTGGAACTGAACCTGAAAATTTCAACCTTTAAAACTGCATCGAATAGGTTAAAAAAGAATCATCACACCTCCTTGTTTCTTGGATAAAATATTTATTTGGCTTGCTAATATGTTGTGAGAAGAACATCTTCAGTTCCTTCCCTAAAGCCAGGACAATATGAGAACGGAATGAGTGACTTGGAAACTAGCTGCAGGAAAGCCAGAGGACCGCAGTGACAACAACATTGGGTTCCGGGCCAGATGGCTGACCAGGAGGTGAGTATGCTGATTTTTATACCCTTCCGAGCTTTTGTGATTGAGATACCTGATGGGGTATTTGATTAATTTAACAGTGTTTCTTTTGGTAATTTCCCCTGGGGAAGGAAAGTGTCAAGCTCAACTTGGGGAAGGGAGTGTGACACAATTTTAGTCCTCTTTTGTGTTCTGCTTTGCTTTGCTGGCTGGAGAATTCTGGGAGTTGAAGTCCACCAGGCTTAAAGTTGCCAAGATTGGAGACCCCTGCTTGGGACCACTGTGCTTCCCTTTGTGTCAGTCCCACTAATTTGATCAGTTGGGGAAATCAACTCCATGGGAAAGCTGGAGTTATGGTTGTTGAGAATCACTCTAATAAAAGAATCTTGTAAATCTGATTGTACTGGACTTCCTTCTCTTTCTTAGAATAGAGGGAATTAGGGAGGTATCTGTTATCTGGATGTTCTGAACTTGCAGTCTCCTCACTAGAGGAAAACACCAAGTTTTCAGAAAGTTAGGAGGGTAGAAGGCTGCCAAATTTCAGGGAGAAGAGCATTGCATAGGGCAGAGGTGCCTGCCATAGAAAAGACATACTTCTTAGATCCTATAAGGTGATAGTGTTTAAAAGAAAGGAGTAGAAGCAGGCCCATCCTGTCTAACATGCTTGGATGGGTACTGATTACGATTCTAAGAGCTCAACTTACTATGTTCATAAATGATTCAGGATTCATCAACGTTTTGCCATTCACTTCTTCTGAACTCAAATTTCCTTGTATAGCTATCAGAGCAATCAACATCCACAGGATGAAACATCTATAAAACAATGGAGTAATTACCAATGGAAAAAGACACATGTTTTTCTGAAATATGTATTCATACTAGATATACCTAACAAAAAGCATTATGTAAAAATGCTAAATGAGAAATTTGGTTGACTGCAGATATTTCTGCTGGGGCAATAAATGGAGTGAGGCTGTACTTTCAAACACAGGACAGTCTTTGAAGCAGCCATATAGGAATTCCAAAGGACAATCGCTACTATAATACTTTGAGACCAGTGCTTCACAGCTGCAAAACTCTGAAAAGTGCTCCTTTTAAATTCTTTAAGTCCTGTAATCTTTACAGCCTTGTAAATATATTTATTAAATAAATTTATGGATAGTCACACAATCGCAAAATATAATGAGAGCCAGTTTGCTCTAGCGCAGGGGTATCAAACTCAAGACCCACAGCCCGGATCCAGCCCACGGGGTGCTTAGATCCGGCCCGCAGGACTGGCCTGGAAACAGGAAAGGACCGGCCCTCTACCAGCAAAAACAGAGCCCCTGACATGAGTGATGTCAAGCTGGCCACGCCCCCCTAACCACACACATCCTGGCTCTCTGAGGTCAAACACAACCCTGATGTGGCCCTCATGGAATCAAGTTTGACAGTTCAAGTCCTGCCTTAGCCATGAAAGCCAGCTGGGTAATTTGGGGCAAGTTACACTCTCTCTCGATGTAACTGGGTTGCTATTTTGTGGGGGAAATAGGAAGAGGAAGGGGTGTTGGATGTGTTCTCTGCCTTGAGTTATTTGTAAAAAAGATAGATAGATAGATAGATAGATAGATAGATAGATAGATAGATAGATAGAGAGAGAGAGAGATGGATGCAGTGGTAAAATCCAAATTCTTTTACTACCGATTCTATGGGCGTGGTGTGGCTTGGTGGGTGTGACTTGGTGGGTGTGGCAGGGCAAGGATACTGCAAAATCTCCATTCCCATCCCACTCCATGGGGAAGGATATTGTAAAATCTCCATTCCCACCCCACTCTGGGGCCAGCCAGAGGTAATATTTGCCAGTTCTCTGAACTGCTCAAAATTTCTGCTACTGATCCTCCAGAACCTGTCAGCACCTGCTGGATTTCACCCATGGATGGATGGATGGATGGATGAATAAAATGTAAAACAATTATCCATTTTAGTATAGGGATGACTTTAAATATAAACCAGTTAAGATGTTGCAATTGGCTGGAGGATGTGGGGCAGGGACAAAACGAAGAAACCAATGAAGTCATCTGAAAAATAATTGCATAATTAAGTATACATCAGAGAAGCTACATTTGGAAGATGAAGAAAATGAAATCTTAATATAAACATAATAATGATTATAGCATGGTAATAGACTACAGATATTTTTTTACTACAGAATCTTCTGCAATCATTTTATATATAGAAAATCATGTTGATGTACAGCATAACACCTAAAATGTATTTGGTAAAAATAATCTGAGAAAGAAAACTTTTCAAATAACACATAACTCCATGGACAAAAGATACTAATTGCATAAACTGGATCCTAAATAGTCCTCTGGGTCATTTAATTGAGAAGAGAAAAGGTTTCTTCTTATCAATGCCAGGAGGAACCCAAGTCACTTTGTTCTGAGAACTGCTCCCAGATTGAATTTACTTCATGTGGAGTCTCTGGACAAATTCCAAAGACCCAAATGTTGTGATATGTCTCTAGTTCATTTAATCAGATGGTTAAGGCACCAGGCTAAAAGCTGGGATTCTGTGAGTTCTAGTCGCATCTTCCTGTTGTGGCCCCGCCCTCTGAGCCTATCTCATCGGAGGAAGAAGGCTCCGAACATGAGGGAGAGGAGTCAGCCAGGCCTCCCTCTCCAGGCCCCTCCCCTCTGGCACTGTCTCAGGTGCCGGCCGAGGGAGAGGAGATTAGCCAGGAGCCAGGTGTCTCTGATGAGAGCGAAGAAGGAGAGCCGTCGTTCCTGGATGCACGCCAACGAAGGCGTGATAAACGGTTGCAGCAGTTAAGGAGGCATGCTAGGGATTAGAACTGAGTCACTGGACCACACCCCAGAGACTATATAAGAGAGGGTGGTGGCTGGTAAAACTCCGTGATGAACAAAAACTAACTCTGGCTAGTCACTTGAACAACGTCTGAAGCTGCCGAAGGGATATTGTTTTGCTGGACTATTTACAATGTGTATGTAATTTTATGTTACCTGTTGCAGTAAAGCTCTTGGCAGACGGTGCTTATATTGTTGCCAAGTTTGAGATAACGACCTGTGTGCATGCCAAGTACTTTCTTAACCCTCGGCTGGCTGTGTTTGTGTGTGTGTGTAGACAGGGACAGATCACTTCCTCATGAAAACCAGCTGGGTTACTTTGAGCCAGTCCAGGGTTGTTGTGGATACAATGAAAGGAACAAGTATTATGTTTGCCACCTTGAGTTATTTATTTATTTATTTATTTATTTATTTAAAAAATAGCAGTAATAAAGTAATAAAGGTAATGTATAAAAACTAATAAAAGTGGGATTTTAAAAAATAAAATAAAATTTAAAATATATCTTAAATGGTATTATGATTTTAGTTTTTCAAAATAGCTCTAAAACTTAAATACGTAGACCAGAGATTGCTACAGGAAGCAAGCAAGGAAGGAAGGAAGGAAGGAAGGAAGGAAGGAAGGAAGGAAGGAAGGAAGGAAGGAAGAGTTCTAGTTTTCCTTCAACATCAGTCAAATATATATGGTCAAAAAATATAGCAATTACTCAAACATTACAGTATCCACAAAAGAGATCACAGATATTTTATCCTATCTGCCTTTGGCCTAAAGAGCACAATCCTACACTATTAAAATGTATTTTTCTATTTTCGAAAGAGAATAATTTTCTTGAACAAAAAATGCTGGACATAATTATATATTGTGCTCCATTGAGATGTAATTGTAGAGAAATATCTGTTTCTTTATACATTATTTCTTCAAATGTGAAATAAAACAGAGCAAAATTACTCATGTGAGATTTAAAATAACATTTTTTTTCTTAGAAATTCGTGGCAAACCTACCACATTTCTATGTGTCTCATTTAATTTTTAAATTCATATTTAATGTTACTAAATTCAAAAGATTTTGATGCAGAAATAATTCTCTTTTATGAATGTGGATTAAAGTTAAACTGGGAAAGATTGGGAGGGGAGGGGAAGAGGAGGAATTCCATGAGATAAATATCAGTAATTAAATAAAATCCCGCCCAAAAACATTCATCCAGGAGCCATGGATCCAACTTAAATCCATTAGACATGGAATATGTATGGGAAGCCCCTTCCCCAGAAGAATGAAATATTTTGGGGGATATTAAAAGGCGGAATCTTATATTTCCCCAAAGGCAAAACGGAGAAACAAGACTCAGTCTTTCTTAATAGCTCCCAGCAGATATTTTGTGCTCATTAAGAAGGATTGAAAAAAATAGAATAGAATAGGCAGGTTGGTAATTGTTTTTTCCGCAGTTCTAATTATCCTCTGAAGTCTGTGTCTGTCTTGTTGGGTTGCAGAACCAAACCAGACAGTTACAGAGGTGCAGATGACAGACTCATCTGCACATTTTAAGAAAGATTGAGCCAGCCTATTCACAAAACAAAAGAACTTCCCCTCCAGGAATGGGATTAAAATTTACATTCTCCTCCACCCAAATTCTAAGAACAGGACATGACCCTTTAGGACATAATGGGATTAACCTATTTAGCAAAAGACACAAGCCCCTTCATTGCACAACCCCCCAGAACAGTTCAAACTTCAAAGTCACAGAAACCTCTAAAGATCCATCCACCTATTCAGCCAGTGGTCAGCTGTCCCAGAACCACATGCTGCTGGTGATTCTGCTTCATCAATGAGTGGACCCTCTTTCCAATCAGCCTTCATGTTATTTGCAGCATCTTTCTCCCAGCTTGGAACTGAACCAGGTGGATTTTCCTTCCAACATATGAAAATGCCATTTCATCAATAAGCTTTTCTGAAAAACATGTTTTGATTGAAGCAATGACAGAACTTACATTAATGTTGCTTTCTTTTCTTTCCTTCTTCTCATTTCAAACCCAGCACACAATAATATTCCTGATGAGATACAGACCAGTTACCAATGTCCTCTCCTTAATGGTATGTTTTCTTCCCACAAGCAAGTCTGGAAACCTCCTTTAATAAACTGTACACACCTTCCAGCTGTAGCAACCTGCTGAGTGTAGCAGCTGTTTGCTCATATTTACACCTTATTGGCTGATGTCTTCTGACTCAACCCAGGAGGTGCCATCAATAGAACATCTTGAACAAATTTTCCTTGTAGGGTATAGACATTGTCAGTTTGTAATTTACCGTCCATAATTTCTCCCATTTGTCCAATTCAATACTATACCCAAAAAATTTTGCCCAAATTATCATGTTTTCTTTAACTACTTCTTCCTTTAATTTATATCTTAATAAGTAATTGTATATTTTGGTTATCATTTTCTCGTCCGTTCCTTGTAAAATTTTATCCAATTCATTTGGTTCATTTTGAAATCCGAATTGTACCTGATCCGTTTTATACCTTGATTCTATTTGTAAATATGGCCACCAGTCAATGTCTATACCCTGTTCTTTCAATTCTTGTCTCGATGTAATTCTCCTCTATTGTTCAGTAGTTCTTTGTAGTTTCTCATTTTCTCTGTGTCCATAGCGTTAGGATAAATCAGCACCTCCCTAGTTGATAACCATCTCGGAATTTTACTGTAATGTGTTTTTCTGATCTCTTGCCAAATTCTGTATAATGATCCTCTAATAATATGTTGTTGGAAATATTGATGATGGTTATCTCTTCCCTCCCACAGAAATGCATGCCAGCATCGTTGTAAGTCAAATCCTTCTAGAAGTAGTGTTCTCTTGTTTTTGAGGTCTATCCAGTCTCTAATCCAATTTAATGATGCTGCTTTATAGTACAGTTTCCAGTCCAGTAACCTTAATCCTCCTTTCTCCCGGGTATCTAGCAAGCATTTTATTTTAATTCTGGCCTTCTTCCCCTACCAAATATACTTTGCTATCATTTTATCGAAGTCTTTGAAAAAATCCTTACCTAGCCAAATCAGAGTTACTTGGAAGAGGTATAGCAGTCTGGGTAGTATATTCATTTTAAGATATGCAATTTTCTCTAAGAATAACAATTGTAGTTTGCTCCATGTCTCCAAATCTTTTTTTAATCTGTTTTATTAATTTAGTATAATTATCCTCTCTAATTGATGTTGCTTTATTGGTGAGCCAAATTCCCAAATACTTTACTTTCTTTGCTATTTGTATTCCTAATTTATCCTCTAATTCTTTCTCCTGTGCCTTTGTCAAATTCTTCGTTAATATTTTGTTTTTTGTTTATTGATTTTGAGACCAGCCACTCTTCCATAGTCCTCTATTTTCCCTAACAATTTAGTTCCTGTTGTTTCTGGTTGTTCCACAATAAACACTACATCGTCAGCGAAAGCTTGTGCGCACGTGTGCACACTCACAGTTCTGAACCAGTAGCAAAGGTAAGTGGAACCCACTACTGCAATAGGCCAAATATTAGCTTTTGTGGCTGACCACTCACATCTACTAATTTCAGTTATTTATTTATTTGTATCCCTCCTTTATTATTTTTACCAATAGTTCAAGGCAGCAAACCTACCCAATACTTCCTCCTCCTCCTATTTTCCCCACTACAACAACTCATGAAGTGGGTTGGGCTGGGACAGAGTGACTGGCCCAAGGTCACCCAGCTGGCTTTCATCACTAAGGCAGGATTTAAACTCACCGTCTCCGGGTTTCTATCTGGTGTCTTAAGCACTAGCCGAAGTGACTCTCACTGGCTTTATTACACTGAAATTCAACAGGTACCATGCTAGTTCTAAGAACTGCAGTCTAACAGACATATATGATCAAGATAGGGAAGAGATTATTAGCTAAATTGTGTGCCATTTTGCAAGAACAGAAAGGAAGGAAAATGGGGCTGAAGTCTTGAGTATTCATTAACTTGAGTTCAGTAGAATGCTAAATATTTATTAACATTCCTTCCAAAAAGTATCTTCTCATTGTAATTGAGGATGCAATGCATCCACCCATTCTACTGAGGCTCAAAAGAAGTTTACTGCTCCTGGTTGACCTACCTTCACACTTCACACGTTTCCTTCTGTCGGTTATGTTTTACGTTAAAGGTAGTCATAATATATAAGGGAAAAGCTCCAGATGGGTTCAAAATGGTGAAAGGCACCATTGTCCCAATTTTTAACCGTTCTTCATCATGTAAATATTGAGTTTGCCCATACAAATATGCAGAAAGGGCAGGGGCCAGCTAAGAGAAAGGCTGCTCCCCCAGCCTGCCCCCGCCCTCTCTCTCCAAAGTTCCTCATGGCAGAGGCAGCATTGCTTACCCACGAAAGCACAGCCCTGGCTGCTGTTTCTGCCTCTTCTCCAACCACTCGGAGCCCTGCGTAATAACGCTGCAGCTTGCTCGAGGTAGCTGCCTTTTAGACTTCCCCCACCCACTTCTTCCTCCGTCTTCTCCTCCTTGAGTTGGAGCCTCGTGCATGACCGAGGCTGAGGAGGGGTGGGATAGTAGCTGCACGGATCCCCCGGTGCCGCCTATGTCCCCTGCCCTGCAATAATGAAGTGCTTTGCCAAGGAAAGCAGAGTCTCAGGCTGCTCCTGGAGCAGCCAGGAGAAGGAGAAACTGCCAGTGGGGAGGCGAGCCACCCCAGGAGGACCGGAGGAGAGTGCAGCTTCTCACTCATGGAGATCTACCGGTGGGAAAGTGGGCGCCGTAAGAGGTGCGCTGGCCAGGAAGCGGTCATGCTCCCTGGCCAGAGAGGGTTGCACAAATCTTTGCTGGAGTGAACGTGCAACCCTCTCCTGCCAGGGAGCATGACCACTTCCAGGCTCGCGCATTTCTTACCACTTTCCGTGACCACTTCCCCGCTGGAGGATCTCTTTTTTTTTTATATTAAAAAAGTTTTATTAAAGAATATATATATATTTACTATATCCCATATAGTAAATCATAACCTTCCAGATTCAACATTCTCCCCTCAGTTAAATTAAACCAATCACTAATTTGTGATAAGACCGCTGCTTCATAATATAATCTTAAATTAGGCATTTTAAGACCCCCCCTTTCACGTGTATCTTGTATAATTTTCATCTTTATTCTGGGTTTTTTCCCAGCCCAAATAAAAATATCAACACCTTTCTGCCATTCTCTCAAATTTTCATCTTTCTTAAGCACTGGTATCATTTGGAACAAGAATAAAAATCTCGGTAACACATTCATTTTAATTGCTGCAATTCTTCCCAATAAAGACAGCTGTAATTTTTTCCAATTCTCCATATCCTTCTGTACCTTGTGCCAGAGATCTTCATAGTTATTTTTGTATAATTTTGTATTTGAAGCTGCTATATACACTCCTAAATATTTAACCTTTTTAACTATTTCAAACCCCATTATTCTTCCTAGTTCATCTCTTTCAAGTACAGATATGTTTTTAGTTATCATCTTTGTCTTATATGAATTGACTTTAAATCCTGATACTTTCTCATATTGATCAATTAAATCCAATATATATGGAATCTGGGTTGAGATAAGGTAACAACCAAGTCATCTGCAAATGCTCTTAATCTATAATCTTGATGTCTGATTACAATACCCTTCAATTTTTCTGAGTCACGTATCTTATTCAGTAGCACTTCCAAAGTCAAGATAAATAACAATGGGGACAGAGGACACCCCTGCCTTGTTCCTTTCTCGATTCTAAAAACCTCTGTTAAACCTCCATTAACTATTATCTGTGCTGTTTGCTGCTGGTATATCGCTCTAATTGATTGTGTAAAATACTCCCAAAAATGCATTTTCTCTATTATTTTGAACAAAAATTGCCAGTTCAAACGATCGAATGCCTTCTCTGCATCCAAAAATATAAACGCTGCAGGGACTTGGTTATTTTTTTCCAAATATTCCAGTAAATTTACAATTTGTCTAACATTATATTCATTTGTCTCCCTTTTATGAACCCTGATTGATCATTATGAATTATTTGTTGCATAACTGGCATTAATCTATTAGCTAATATCTTAGCAAAAATCTTATAGTCAGTATTCAAAAGTGAAATTGGCCTAAAATTCTCAGGTTTAATACAGTTTTGATCCTCCTTTGGAATTAGTGAAACAAAAGCTGTTTTCCAAGAGGGTGGTACTCCTCCCCCACCTGTATTTTATTAAATAGAATTTTAAGTGGTTCTAACATTTCAGATTGTAAATGTTTGTAATAAACAGCTGTTGGTCCGTCTGTTCCCGGAGCCTTAACTATTTTTAATTATTTAATTACCCCAGCAATTTCCTTAGAAGTTATTGGCTGGTTCAATCTTTCTCTCTGTTCCAGCATTAGTTCAGGGATATCTATCTTTAAATATCTATCAATATCAACATCTTGAATTGAGTCTTTAGCATATAACTTTGTATAGAAATCCAAAAAAGCCTTTTTAATTAAATTCTGTTGATAAATCTCCTTACCTCTAAATTCTATCTTGTCTATAGTACGTGATTTTTGCTTTTTTCTCATTGTGTAAGCCAGCCATCTCCCAGGTTTATTGGCATTACAGAATGTATTATGTCTAGCATATTGTATACTGGTTGCTACTTGCCCAGCCATTAACATATTAAATTGCTCTCTTAAAATGTTTATCATATCTTTTGCCTTTTTATCTCCTGGATTAGTTATAAGCAATTGTTCTTTCTTTTTTATTTCCTCCTCTATCTCTTTCCATCTGCTTTGTTGTTTTAATCTATATTTATTGTTCAAAAAAATTAATGTTCCCCTCATATATGCCTTACTTGCATCCCATACCATTTCCATAAGGTACCTTTATTCATATTGTTAACAAAAAATTCTTTCATTTGTTTTTTAAGTTCATTCAAATTATCTTTATATCTAAATAAATTTTCATTTAACCTCCAAGACCTCCTTTCCCCTCTTTCCTGTTCTAATTCCACCCAAACTGGGCTATGATCAGTTAACGTTCTTGGACATATCTTCATCTTCTTCACCCTAGAAAAAAGATCATTTGTAGTTAATATAAAGTCAATCCTAGAAAAGGATTGATGTCTATCTGAAAAAAAAGTAAAAT